ACTAAGTGCAGGCTGACGACGTCGACGTTCGATGAGTAGGAGCTGGCGCTGAGGACCAGTCTCCTCGATGATTTTCGTTAGCCCCTTCAGTCTTTCTCGAGTTATGCGCGGTGGACCGTCAAGATTTCAAATCGTCCAAGTCAAGGAATGTCTCGGTGGTTGACAAGGTCAAAATCGGGTGCTAAGTTGACGCTCCAAAGGACATCGTTCTATCCGCTAGCGTGTGATCAGGCTTCAGGTAGTAAGAATTGGAGTAGGTATAGATGGAGAAGGTAGAAGTGCGCGTCTCGGTTGAAAAAGCGCGCTGTTGGATGAAGGGAAGAGGTTGACAGCGCTTGATTCTAACACGTCCAAATACAATCCAGATGACTTGGGATTTAGAATCAAACAACAGCAATCCCGATTTCCACAGCAACCAACTGCGAACTTCATCATCATCACTGTCTTGATTGACAACCGACATATCGCGAAGCGCCAGACCGTGTCTTCCTTCCCAAGGTACGTTTCGTGAATTCATTACTTATTGAATTTCATGACTAACATATCGTCGCGTGAACCAGGTATTGCACCGTGAATCTTCGGAACCGGTGAACCCGCCGTTGAATGCGTTTACGTGAAGGTTACTTGGCGGAACTGTCCTGACTTCCTTCGTCTTCAAGGCACCGGGATTGAATTCATCAACCCCGCAAACGACTGCTTGGTACTGAGGTAGGTCATTTGATATCCTTCCTTTCTTCGCTTCTCCATCTCACTATATCACCGTTTTCGCTCTTCGCCGTTACAGTGCATCAAATCAAGAAGCGATTGTATTCGAAACGGCTTGGTAAAGGAGCCTGCATCGCTTGCTCGGGGGCTGAGCTCCAGGGGTGGTTCTTTGCGGGGAGCGCGCGAAATTCTCGGCGGTTCCGTGTATCGTCTACTTATATGTAAGTCGCATTCTTTGTGGTTTGGAGGCGATGCGTGTCATTACTTGGATCTGACGACGACGATTCAGTACTCCAACTCATACTCGAGGTAGCTGTTCAAGTGTTCAACTGCCCTTTCAACGTTCCTCTACCGCCTTCGACGACTACGACTACGACTACGGCTTGATACAGTATGGGTGCTACAGATGTCGATCCGTTCGAGTACCTCACCCGACCACCGCCTAACGAGACCCCTGAGGAAAGGACGATTAGGGAAAGGAAGGAGGTTGAGGCGAAGAAGGTTAGCGACCAGATTGACGAGGAGATTAGGAAGGAGAGGGCGGTGATGAAGAAGCAGCAGAATGCGGTGAGGGTGTTGTTATTGGGTCAGTCGGAGAGCGGTACGTCGTTATCTTAGTCTATTTTGAAAGGAGACTCTTATTCGTTTGTTAGGAAAATCGACTACACTGAAGAGTATGTATTCGATGAAGCCTAAGTTGGGACTCGAGCTGACCCCTGACAGACTTCCGCATGCGATACGCGCGAGAGGAATGGCAAGCCGAGCTTGCATCGTGGAGGACGGTTATCCAGCTCAACCTCATTCGCTCGGTTCTCTCCATCCTCGACGCTGTGCAATCGGAACTGGATAACGACCCCGCAGAGCCACCAGGAACGCCCGGCGCCGACGAGACCGAGTTCCTGCACACACCGACCGACGGTAGTACCTCACCCGCTCTCGCTAGTCCGGCCTTCAACCACCCCTCATCCTCGAAACCTGGCCAACGACGACCTAGCGTGTCCAGCATCCACCGCCAGCTTCAATCGAAGGCAAGCTCGAGTTCGTTGAGGAAGGATGCGTTGGGAGGGAAGGAGTCATCGTTGCTGGGTGGGCAGCATCAGCTCCTGAAACTGCGGTTAGCACCGCTTCGACGGGTCGAGACTGATTTGAGACGGCAGTTGGGCGCCAGTGCGGATGATGAAGTTGTAGATGGGGCTGCGAGCGACGAGTACGGAGCGTTAGGTCAGGTGGATGCGGGGTCATCGGTGAGGTCGACCGGGCTGAGGAGGAGGACGACAGCGAGGAAGGAGGTGTCGGTGAGGAGGCTGAAGGATGCGCTGAGTGGTGGGGACAGGGCTGGCAAGTCCAAGGGCCATTCGAGAACGAACTCGGAGGGGAGTGGAGATGATGCGGTTGATGAAGCGACAGATGTGATTGCGAAGTGTAAAGATGATATCAAGGCGCTGTGGATGGATGAAGCGGTTAGGCTGGTTCTGAAGAAACGCAAGATTCGGTTGGAGGATTCGGCTGGATTGTGAGCAGGATCTGATCCCCTTCGGTTTTGTAATGTGGCTAATCTTCCGCTCGTAGCTTCCTCGACGACGTCGACCGAATCGCCGCACGCGAATACGTCCCTTCCGATGATGATGTCGTGAGGGCTCGACTGCGAACGCTGGGAGTCCAGGAATACCGAATCACCGTCGACCAACCCGGTTCCGTTCTTTCAGGTGTGTTCTCTGTCGCTCTTTGCTATCGGGAATTCACTAATTTGCCTGTGAAGGTCTCGGCGCGACGGGTTCGGAATGGCTATTATACGACGTCGGTGGCTCGAGGACAATGGTGAGTCTTGTTCATCCATCGTTACTCCACCTACGTCTATTCTTGTTGTTGCATTCCGTCATCGCGATTTGTATGAACTGTGGTCTGACCAACTTTCGAACCAGCGACACGCATGGATACCCTATTTCGAAAATATCACAGCTATCATCTTTCGTAAGTTCTACCTCGTACTGCGCTGCTCGATCTATTCTGACTTACCTCTCTCCTTTAGTTGCTCGTACGTCTTCTCCCAAACTATCACCCCTGGATCCGCATTGACGATGAACGCTCCACTCACCACCTGTCTCCTTCTCTCCAGCCGTCTCATGCTTCGACGAACGCCTCCTCGAAGACTCGCGTATCAACCGACTCGAAGATTCGTTCCTCCTCTGGCGCCACGTCTGCTCGTCCAAGCTTTTGCAGAAGACGAGTTTGATTTTGTTTATGAACAAGTGTGATTTGTTGAAGAGGAAGTTGAAGATGGGTGTGAAGGTTAATAAGTACCTCCCGAGTTATGCGGATAGGCCGAATGAAGCTGGGCATGTTGTTAAATGTGAGTCGTCTTTTTTGGTTTTGGTTTTTGCGTTCTCGGTTGTCGGTGGTGTTCGTTGGCTTCTTTGGTGGGCTGGTAATTTTGGCGTGGTTGTCGGTTGTTCGTGGTAGCTGTTTATTCGTCGATGTTGCTCTTCATTCGTGGCTGCTGGTCATGTGGACGAGGTACTGACGCCTTTTCTCTAGACCTGAAGGAGAAGTTTAGGGATATCGTGAAGGCTAATGCACCGGAGGGTGGACGGGTGGCGTATTATTATGCCACGTCTGTTACGGTGCGTCGAACAGTTCTTTAATCGATTCGTTGAAGCTCATGTTGGCGTTTGTAGGATACGAAAACGACGTATACGACCCTCAAAGCAGGTGAGGATCGCTTGATTTCTACATTTCGTGTTCGGCAGGGGCATGAGCCTATTCTCGCTCGCTCCTTTGGCCTTGGCCCGCCTTTTCGTTTCGTTACCGTTACTGACGTCGGTCTTCCAGTTAAGGATATTATCTTGCGTGATCACCTCAAGAATGCCGATTTCGTTTAATTCTAATGCTTCATCGATTATCTCCAGCTTCGCCTATTCCTATTTTTCTCCCAGATATCGTGGGTTGTTTACATGTATGTACTACGTCGCTTTCGCTTTCGATTGCTCGTTTGCCTTTGCTCGGCTTTGTGACGCATGCTCGGTCGTGGGTTGCTTTTTTCGTCTCCTTGTAATTTATTGATGTCTGTTCGCTCTCCTAAAGTAGTCGTTGTATATCGGTGTAATGCGGCAATGCATATGGTGTTTTTCACGGCTATGGAGTTATGAATCGATCCAAACGGACTGTGGGTCGAGGCGCCGGCTTCCTAGGAACCATGTTGTTGAATCATTGAATTCAGGGTGGAGACTTCAGGGTTGGTAAGCGTCGTGGAGCGTACTGTCTAGTGGTAAAGTAACCAAGTTTTTGAGATGAGAGAGAAGAACAAGAAGTGCGAGATGACCGACTAACGGTCAGCTGCAGTGTAATTGTCGAGGAGTGTTTAGATTCCTGGTTCCACACGTTTTAGGTTCAGTCTCAGGCTGTCGGTCACCTCATCGGTAAAGTACTACAAAGGCTACTTTCCGTTACTGGAGTTGACTCGCGAACGATGGGGGTGGAAAGGGGTGGAAGTCTGTAGGAGTGCTTGCAGAAGCTTTAGCCCAACAACCCCAAACAATACCATTCTGATTTTCTTTCTCGTCCTTTGCGCAGACCATGAGGATGATGTCGCTGGGATTGTCAACTGCGTGGTTGGCGCTTAGATAGGTGAGGACATCCCAACGTCTCTTTCACTCTCTCACTGACCACACACGAACTAGGTACCGATGCTACGATATGCATGTAATTTGAAGGTTTCCGATATCAAGCAACTCTCCTTCACGTCCCAAAATCCGGAGTCCCGGCACTTCACGAGTGTTTATATTCACAGCCCGAGAACTCGAGTCAATCCGTGTTTCCTGAGCGTCTAACGTCCAGATTGGCATGACACCAAGTGAGAAAGAAGGACACGTGCTTCGATCGAGGACTTCCCACCATTGTACCGTTGTGGGCACGCCTCGTGTTGTGGCCCCTATTTATCACAAGATCGTAACACGATAGCCACTCATCGATCGCCTCTGCAGCGCAGTAATCACCCCAAATTCAAGAGTACGCCATATCAGAGAAGACGTCCTCGGTATTGGGTCCAAGATGGCGGAATTGAGCGTGAAGGTGGATGAAGGTACGTGTTGGCCATTTTGAATCTCATTTAGCCACTGACTTCTCTCCGAATTTGTTTCTCGAATCCTTCAGAGACGGCAAGTGAAACCGTCTGGAAAGCCCAAGGCAAAACTCGCCCGGGAATCGACGACTCCATCGCGGTTGGGACAGCTCAAGTTCTCAAGGTACGTCTCCCCACTCGTGGCAATCTCAACCACCGAAAACTCGTCCAGGCCCTCGAATCGAACCTTATTCTCAAAACGAGCGACCACCTCCACAAAGTTCTCGCCGTCCTCTTTAGCCCTGTCGAAGGCATCTCGAAATCCGACCCGAAGAACCACAATGCCATATTCGCCTCCCTCGATACAGCAAAACGATTTGTCTGGTCCATCTGGCCGCGTGCTACAGCGCCTTCGCTCCTCACGCACGAACCGCCGCATAATTTCGGGATGCTCTCGGAGGAGGATCAGAAGAGGATAATCGACTATAGTCCTAATATTATGTTCCGAAAAACATGGCCATGTTTAATGTACGACGTCGTACCATCGTCCCCCGTGGGAAAATGATGTCATCGTACATTTCATCGTACCATCGTACAAAAAAAAGTAGTTTTTTAGTAAATCGTACACTTCATCGTACCAATGTACGATGATCATACATGGTTAATACCCGAAATCGATTATTGAAACCATAATGTACGATGCCATCGTACCATCGTACATTCCCATCGTACCATCGTACACTTCATCGTACAAGTGTACGATGCTATTGTACATGAAATCGTTTATTGAAACCATAATGTACGATGGCATCGTACCATCGTACACCCCCATCGTACATGGTTTCTATCCCAAAACGAATTTAGAAACCAAAGTGTATGATGGCATCGTACCATTGTACACTTTACAAAAGGTATGTACGACACCATCGTACACCCGATCGTACCAGTGTACGACGCCATCGTACAACGAGTGTACGATGAGAGTACTCCATTGTACCCCCATCGTACACTCGCTGGACGATGATTGTACCTCTAAGTTCACTTGTACGGGGTTAGGGTTGGTGGAGAAAAACTCGAGCGAAGCGAGAGTTTTTCGAAGACGAAAGCTGGTCGAGCGGGTTGTCGAAACAACCGGGTCCGCTTTCGAGTTCTTATAAACTCTCGTCAGGACCTGTGCTTTCTTTTTAGACTGTCCACGGGTTGGGTCACGACCCTCTGACCCTAGGGTCGACCCGACCCAACCCTCAAGGGTCAGGGTCAAGGGCCAGTTGTTGCCTGACCCGACCCCCAATCTCCGGGTCAGGGTCATGTCGTAAGTGACCCTGACCCTTGGGTCGACCCGAGGTTGACCCGGGTTGACCCTTTAGGGGACCAGGTTACCTATTATAGAATGCTGTGGACAACCATGTTTTAGTATTTGTAAGAGCGTGTTGGGACTGAGGAAAACACATGGACAAACAAACAATATGTAAGTACCGAAAATAATTAATTGATAGCTTTCCGTCTGGATAGATAACATCCAGGCTACGGTCATCGAAGGTCTCCTATGTCACACACTCGCCAGCATCAAGAGATAGATCCCAGCCAAATTCTACCCGATGATGCTAAACGTCTACGGAAACCAATAGCTAAAGTTCAGGAGAGGGCTGATTTCAAACCTTCCCCAGTTTCCGACGCACATGCGAAGCAAAAGGGTACGTACTGCAAGATACTTAGGGATGGTCAAGGGGTTTTAAAACCCCCCGGGTAGAGGCCAGGGGTAGAGCGGGGGTAGGGGTAAGGGTAGGTCTCCGGCTACCTTTGGCCAAACCCCCCACCCCTGGTCGGGGGTAAGGGTTTTGATAAAAACAAAACAAAACCTATTTATTTCAACATCTATGTATTGTATCTACTAAATAACTGCTGTATGTGTGATATAGCACATAAAAATATCCATATAGACTACTATAACTAAAGGTTAGTGCCAAAATACTTAATACCTTCTCATCGTACACTGGTACGCTCATCGTACCATCGTACAGCCCCCGTTGTACCACGAGTGTACGACCAGCGTACCACCCAAGTACCCTCATCGTACACTCGTGGTACAAAGGGTATGACCATCGTACAGCCTTGACGAAGGTCATACGAGATTCCCTGCCTAACCCCCCCATGTAGGCACTGACCATGGTCCCTGGTTTCCAAACCCGGTGGTGGTTAGAAACCACTCCCCTCCCTTTGTCATCTACCAACCTCGATCCCCTCCCACCTCCTGCCTCCCTCCCACCGTTGGTTTTAATCACCAGCGAGGATTGGAAACCACAAGGCTCCAACTGTGGAGCTGGTTCCAAAAGAAGTAAGTCGATCAGGTTCCGTCTCCGATCCGGCAGGCGGAACCTAATCGCTTGATCCGTTTTGTACATGCCCAAATTTAGACGTTACCCCGGCAAACGTCTCCTCCTCCTCCCTCTCTTTCCAAATATCTCTTCCATCATCACTCAAGTCATTAGAAACATGTATTAGAAGCTATTGTATTAGCCATAGAAACCCAGTGTACAAGAGTTAGGTACTAGTTGAATGACTTAACACTTGTTACTAGGTTGAGTGATTGGGAAGGAAAGAAATAAGGATAACTTACCGGTTTCTACCCCGATTCCAGTGGGTCCGGGCTCGTTCGATACGGAAAAGAGAAACGTTTCAAACCAGCCTAAGTTGAGAGGGGTAAGACGTTGGTAAGACAATCACGCACATGGAAAGAAAAAAAAGAAAACAAACACGGGCGCTTACCTGAATTCTAGGCATAGGCAGGTAGAAACCATTGTACCTCGCCCAATTCTGATGGTATAGGGGTGGTCTTGGGCTCATTCAAAAGCCATTTCTCCGCGTTTGAAAACGCGCTGAAGACGAGAGGGTTAGCGTGTCAGTAACGCAATGACGCACGCGTCACAAAGTTGTCTCATACCTGATGACCGAAGACCCGCTGACTTCCATCCCCCTTTTCTGACCCGATTGGGCATCGATCCAAACCGAGCGGCTGTTGGAAAGGAGGGCGGCCGAGACCCTCTGAATGGCGGTGGAGTTGGAGCAATCGCCCGCCAGTATGGTAAGTACGATCGCTCCGGAAAAGTCTTAGCCCGCAATAAAACTTACCTCCTCATTGTTCCCTTCGCAACTGCCTCAATTCTCCTCCATTCTTCGTCAAGTCTTTTCCTGTCGAAACGTCCGAAACCGAGCTGTCGAACGCAACAAGAATGAAGGAAATCGGTGGAAGGTGAGTCTGTTGCCATGGCGGAAGCTAAACATTTTCGATCATAGCTGACACAGCCTCCCAGGACATAAAACCTGGGTGGCTGCCCCTCCCTTCTTTCCTTCCCTCATCCTACTCGACCTCACACTGCTCCCAGCACTGGTAGACGTCGAAGCCTCAAAAAAACCGTTAGAAACCAAGGTGAGTCGCTTTTCCACTTACCCCTCTCTCTACTAAACCTCTCTTCCACTCTGCTAGTACAAAATTCGAAAGCACACCATGGTGAGTTATCCATACCACATCCTCGACACTTGCTCGTAGTTGTTGCGACGATGCGGCTGACTTTACTGTTTTTCAGCCACCCAAGGCCGGATTGTCGACGACCAGGTCAACTCGACGTGCTCCCAAGACACCGGAGCAGAAGGCGCGAGAGGAAGAGGCGAGGAAGCTCAGGGCGGAGGAGAGGGACAAGGCGAAACAGCAGAAGGCCGCTCAGCAAGAGGGCAGCAAGGGGGGGAAAGGCAAGGGGAAGGGTAACAAGCGAAAGGTGAGTCGATATCCCTTATGACAGGACGACTTGACTCACCTCTTTTCAAAGATAACCAGCAGGGCTTTCATCGAATCGGACGAGGAGGGTGATGAAGCAGATGAGCCACGGCCCAAGAAGGCAAAGACGACTGTGAGTAGGGTTTCGTTTTCCTCCAAACAATGGAAAACTTACACGTACCCAAGGCTGTGGATGGAGGATCAGCTACTAGCCAGGTCGGCGATGACGAGGATAGGGTAAGTGGTTTCCATTTCGTTTGAAGTATTGAAACCAACTAACAAGCACCAAAGGCCGCGGATAGAGGATCGGCGGCTAGCCAGGTCGGCGATGATGAGGATGAGGTTAGTGGTTTCCATTTCGTTTGTCGTATTGAAACCTACTAACATGTACCCAAGGCTGCAGCTAGAGGATCGTCGAGGGGACCAGCGGGCGATGACGAGGATGGGGTAAGTGGTTTCCATTTCGTTTGAAGTATTGAAACCGACTGACAAGGACCAAAGGCCGCGGATGGAGGATCGGCGACTAGCCAGGCCGGCGATAAGGAGGGTGGGGTAAGTGGTTTCCATTTCGTTTGAAGAATTGAAACCAACTAACATGCACCAAAGGCTGCGGATGGAGGATCGGCGGCTAGCCAGGTCGGCGACGACGAGGATAGGGTAAGTGGTTTCCATTTCGTCTGAAGTATTGAAACCGACTAAGGGTTAGGGTTAGGGTTAGGGTTAGGGTTAGGGTTAGGGTTAGGGTTAGGGTTAGGGTTAGGGTTAGGGTTAGGGTTAGGGTTAGGGTTAGGGTTAGGGTTAGGGTTAGGGTTAGGGTTAGGGTTAGGGTTAGGGTTAGGGTTAGGGTTAGGGTTAGGGTTAGGGTTAGGGTTAGGGTTAGGGTTAGGGTTAGGGTTAGGGTTAGGGG